GCCATGAGCGAGGAGGAGAGGAGGGAGCGCCAGGAGGACATCAAGGCGCTATTCGGAAAGGCCAAGGAGTATAGCGACGACAAGGTGCAGCTGGCCATCCAGACCTACGAACTAGTGGACAAGCAGATCCGGCGACTGGACAACGATTTAGCCCGCTTTGAGGGTGAGATCCAGGAGAAGGCCTCATCCACGCGTGCCAAATCCGAGGAAGTGGTGGCCAAGAGTAAGACTGCTCCAAAGTATCTCTTCTTCAATGAGCTGACCCCTTTTATTCGATTCCTTTCTGCAGAAGGTCGTAAAAAGACCAAGGACAGCAAGACGACGGGCAAAAAGAAAAAGTCCGCATCCTCAGATGAGGAAGCTGGGCGAGGCAATAACCAATCTAACGCCAATTCAAGTGTAAATTCGAGCAGCAATGCCGGGCAAGGTACCAAAAAGAAAAAGTCCAAGGTAAATCAAGAAAAAGAAACTCGCAAGGGGGGCGCACAAAAGGTAAACCATTCACATTCTCATCTATACATTGTTAGAACTTTAGTATGTTTACTGTTTCCCAGTTTTGGTTGGTCCTGTATAGAATACTCTAAACTTTTGTAGATTATACCCATAGAAATCCTGCATTATCCATTGTCTTCCATATCGTTTGCATTTTCACTATCTGCATGCCTCCACTATCGTCTAAACAACCATTCTTACGCATTTTTTTTAACATATCCACTTAGAAAACCGTCGAGGTTGATGACTCTGAGAAGGAATCGTGCCACACGGCGGCAACTCATCCCAGCGACGTTATGGACATGCCCGTCGACCCCAATGAGCCCACATATTGCCTATGTCACCAGGTTTCCTATGGGGAGATGATTGGCTGCGACAATCCCGACGTAAGTATCCGATTTATATGTACTCTGTGGTCAGTTGTAACTGTTTTCACACAACCATTTTTAGTGCCCCATTGAGTGGTTCCACTTCGCATGCGTCGGCCTAACCACAAAGCCTAAAGGCAAGTGGTTCTGTCCCAAGTGTACGCAGGACCGAAAGAAGAAATAGATGCAATCCTTTAGGATAACTTAGAATAGTACTAGATTAAGCACAAATTTACCTATTTAAATAAAGCCAAGGCAATTCACTAATATTGTCAATTTATTTTCTAACTAATTTGAAGCTTAATAGCATGATATTATATTTATATAATTCCCTAGCTTTACATAGAATAATTCTTAAATTTGTAATTAATTCAAGACATTCCCTTTAATCCGATCATACATATCAAAGTTTTTTAGAAAAATTCAGACATCTCCCGATTAAATGAAAGAAAACTGCAAAATTAGCGATTACCAAAATCCGATTATATTCATAAGCCTTTTTACCTCCGCAAACCAACAGGCAATCTACCTTAACCTAGTTAGCTAGTTTCATTGGATTTATTCGGGTTTTATGTGACTTTTTGGATTTTACAGAATTTAAAAGCGACTAATAGATTCCAATATAGATTACACACTTGTCTGTATATGCAAGCGTACATACGTTGTTAAGTGTAGTACATATATGAACATTTACATATATAGTGAACAAATTCAACTGCCTAATCAAAGGAATCGGTGAAAAAAACAAACAAAACATACATAATATCGGCACTGCATTGAGCCAAAAAGTGATGCTGTAACCGCGTTCCAGAAATGAAAAAAGCTTTTAGACATGTGCAGTCGTATCCATAATCGCTCATCTCAAATACTCGTAATCGTGGTGTGCGTTCAGATTTTGCTATGCAGTTGGCAGGCCTTACTTCTTGGTCATGATCTTCAAGTACTCGAGGGCATTCTGGGCGGCATGCCGCTGGGCATCGGCGGCTGTCGGTCCACTACCGTGGCAAACGCCAACGGGCAGCGTGGACAGCTGAACCAGACACTGGAACTGGCCAGAGAAGGTCTTCTCCTCTATGTCAACGTAGGTCACCTCGAACTGGTTCTCCGTAGCGATTTCGCCCAGCAGCTTGATGTAATCGATCTTGTTGCTCTTTAGGCAAGTCTTCTGAAAACAAAACATCGTCGAATTAGCATAGTCCCATTGAACTGGAATTTAATCATATCTATATTAGATAAACTAAATTTGAACTTTCAAGGAACATCATTTTTATAATAATAGTGAAAACGTTTAAGGAATGTAAGCCAAAAATGAAAGCTAGTTCCAGTATGAAAATTAGATTTGAGGTTTTGTTTTGGAATATGTTCTAGATGAATAGATTAACCCTGGATTTAGTTTAACTTCAAATAAAATGTGTTGTTGGAGTGAAATTTACCTGTAACTTAAGCAGTTTTTTGCCAGTTGCATTTTTCAGGGTCTTATGGAACTGGGATACTTTGTTACTGTGCTGCGTGGTCAGTGTCGGCACTGAGATATCTTTCAATTCACCATAATAATTTTCGCTACTGCGGGGCTGTAAATAAGAGCGCAAAGTTGTTGGTTTCTTTTCTCCATTGCATTTGGCACACATATGAAATCACCAACGTCAATGGTGAGTTGAAATATATCGTTTTTGTGTAGAAAAAGTGCTCTTGCTATAAAACAACCACAATTTCGAGGAACAATTAAATCAAATCATACAGAAATAAAAAGCTTTGCGAATAGGAAAAGCAAAATAAACCATAAATTGTATCTTAACTAAAACCACAAATAAAAATCAGGTTTAAGCATGTTGTTAATTATATGTATAATTATGGCAAAATAACTGGTTATAAAAACAAGAGCCATAACCAATGTCGGTTTGTACATTATAAGAGTTGTTTTAGTATTAAAACTGTAGCTAGGCACTTATTTAAAGAGTATTAGTCAAAGCTAAGATCGAAAATTCTAAAATAATTGGGGTGACAAAGCAACAATTTACACGGATTATTACAAATGAGGATTTTTCCAAACGATCTACAGTTTTTCTTCTTTTTAGGAAGGATGAGGACAAACTTTTACACTTATATTTAATAACTACCAAGTATATATATTTGGTAAATCAATTTTAACATAAATATTTAAACTAAGACAGTCCGCAACCAATTAAATTGGAATCACAGTGTGACTGCATGCGTAAGAATTCATAAAAAAAAATTTGAGAATTGCCTCTCGGTTAGATCTCTATCAACTCGAATTCTTTAGGGATTTGCACGTAACGACCGCTGTCTTCAATGATACTCACTTCGCCCTCCAACTCGCCGCAGATGCTGTCGCTGATCTTGCCCGAATCGATGGGCGTCTCCTGCAGCCGCATCCACATGCGGTGGGCGGCCAAGCGCTTAGCTATCTTCTTGCTTTTGCCCTTGCCCATCTCGCGGTAGTTGAGTATCGAGCAGGCGATCGTAAAAAGCCGCTCGTGGGGCAGGCCCACTTCCGTTTCCGTTTCATACGACGGTGGTGGCCATCGCCGTTGCATGCACATTTCCTGCAGCCAGCCAATAGGATTACCGACTATCTTGTCGCCGGCACTGCAATGACATAGAACAAGCATTTAGGAAACGTTGAATAACACATCAATAGCACAACCACTCACTCTCCTCCACCAGTGGCATTGGCATTGCCGTCTCCGCCACTTCCGGCGACCGTGAGCCCAGTCACCGACGGACCAGCGGAGCTGCTAGGCGATTCCGGCAGCTGCGCGCCGATCAGCTTGTCGATGAGCGCACGGGCCGCCGCATGCTTGGCCTCCTTTTTCGAGCGTCCTGCACCCATGGCCGTGAAAGGCGTATCCTTGTCCTTAAAGGACACGCGAAACCGGAAGGTCGGCTCGTGTATGGCGCCTTCGATCTGGACAAGCTCATAGCCCGGCGTAATACCGCGCCGGCTGAGCAACTCCTGCAGAATGCTGACGGGCGTCTTCATGGCCAGTCCATTGGCGTCCGTCTCGCTGACGAACTTCAAGGCCTCGTCGCTGGGCATTATTCCGCCCATTAGGCCGGCTCCACATTGTAAACCCGATCCGCCCGCCAAGGAGGGATCACCGAGATCCAACAGCATCTGACCCGACTGTGGCAGCTGCGCAACCTGGGCAGATACCTTCTCCTTCTTGATCTTCACATGTCGCTGCCCCAGAGGAGCACTCTTCACCGGACTTCCACTAACGGCATTGCCATTGCCCAGGCCGCCAAGGTTCTCATAGTGCCGCCGTGGAGCAAATCCCGTCTGCACAGGATTCGGAGGCGCCTGGTGCTGCTGGATGTGAATGTTCTGTAGATGCTGCGACAAGTTGTGCCCGTGGAAGTTCTCCTGGTCCATGGTGTTCTTGTTTCGCACGGTTTTTCGGAGGACTCGGTGTGTATCTGTTTGAAATTTCGGGGTAATATTTGGCTAAAAAATCGATACATCACCGACGAAAGCGGGCGAAAAGTAGTCTACTCCAGCTCACGTTCTCGGCGATATTCGGGGAGTACTCACGCTTGATTCGCGGTTTTTAACTGTTTTTTATTTAATAATAATTTATTAATGGTTAGTTAATAATTCATTCTTAAATAAAAAATACAGCAAAATCCAGACGCACACACGATTTGTATGTATGTTACTGATGGTCGTGGTTGCCAGACTTTTTTTGGATTGCCTACTTATTGTACCCGCTTCTTGAAGGTATACTAGATTCTTTGAAAAGTATGTAACAGGTATATGGAAGCGTTAAGTAAATGTGTATATTCTTGAGTCGATCTGACGATGTCCGTTTGACACGCCTACAACTGTCACTCCCACGTTTTAGAAAAAATGTTTTTTTTTTTTTTAAGTATACCGTGGGCAACACAATTACACAGTTTTAGCACTACCCTTTTTTAATTAAAAATAAAAAAAGACTTATTGCTAATTTTATTAATAAAAACAAAACATTACAAAAATGAATACTAATTTAACTCTTTCAAAACGTAAGTTTTAAGTCCATCATTACAGACTAGCAAAAATAAAGGTATTGTAAAGTGGTATCGATATAAAATAAGACTACAATCGATATCGTGGAATTGCCTTATAGATAGAATCCCTCCTTATTTGAAATTGTTGTATAAGTATTTATTGCAGTGTTTGCTCCATTACTGTTGTACATAATATTAATAGATATATATTTAAACAACATTCAATCAAATCAAATGTGAATGTATGCGCGGAATTCTGTGGCTCGAAATGCACGAAATATGGGACTCCCGTAGCAGTAAACGATAGTTTAAATGGTATCCTAGACCTGGCTCTGATCTTCCCTCCTAATCGTCGCTTAGAAAATCATCATCAAGGTTCACATCTGTCGTATCAATATTATCATCCAACGTGATTCCATCTATTTCCAAGTCCAGGTCATCGTCGTCATCCGCAGCAGATGTAGGCTCGGCCACCTGGCTGCTAGAAACAGCAGCTTGAGCGGGAACGAAAGCTGGCTTCACCTTCTCCTCCAACTGCCCGGCGAAACCCTGCTCGGCGGCAAGTAGTTCTTGCAGAGGATGACGTTCGCTGTTCAGGGGAAGATGCGCAGCCAGGCGTGCCGGCGCCTTGCGAGCTCGCTCCTCCTGCAAATGCTGCTCCACTCGCAGCGCATCTCCCAGGCCAGGAAAGAGATTTGTATACTGTGCCGGATCGGCCAGTGACTGGCCCGCCTTCTCGTTGACCTTTCCAAGCTTTTCGCGCCAAAGCTCGACGATCTTTGACATCTGGCTGGGCAGGTAGGTGCGGGCAAAGAACGCTGCTTCTGGCAAGCGATTTGTCTCAATGAGAATCTCCAAGCAGCGTTCCACGTCCGAACACAGAAAAGCGGACAGGAAGGCTAGGTTGTGCCTACCCTGGGCCGAGCCAGCAGCACCCACCTCCTCGAGCAGCTGGGCATCGCCGGAAGCGGTTGATAGCAGCAAAAGACCGCTGAAGTCGTTTGCCTTCTGCATGCACTCTTTTACCAGATCCATGTTGTTCTTGCTCGCCGCCACATCTGCCAGCTGGGACCACTTCTGGGAGTTCTCCGACTCACGTGCCAGCTTTAAAGCGATTTCCAATTCCCCGATTTGTAAGGCCAAGTCAAACTTATGGTCAGCATCGGTAGAGACTTGCAGAGCCTGCGACTTAAAGCCCTGTTTCTCCAGAAAATGTGCAACCCGAGTGCGGTGCTCCTTGGGAATGGTCGGCAGCACAACGTCTGCGCGCTCAAAGTCTCTTCGCATCACCGCCGTCTGGTACTCCAGCACGGACAGCTGCAGGCAAAAACTGATCACGTTCAACTCCTTATCGCCGAGGTAAATACGATTGTCCTTGGGCACGTAGCCCAGCAGATACATTGTGCGGTCCAAGTGGGATACGGTCACAATCTCGCCGCCCACGTAGTAATTGATGCGGTTCACCGAGTTGGTATAGATGAAACAGTCTCCCACCCAAAGGCCTGTTTTGACGCACTCCGAAACCTCGCCTGCAACAAAATGGAATAATACAATACAATTAACTTTACTTAATATCAGGTGGTGGTAAATGAAAACATATTTGTAAATTTAAATTTAAAATAGGTTGCTCTCATGATGAAATATACATGATACTTAAAATTGTACGCTCAATTGGAAAATTGAAAGCTGAAGCTCATATTAAATATCGCGTTTGAGACACGTATTCTAAAGATAAGATATTAGATAAAAGATATCAACATACCCAACACATTGAAGGCGCTCTCCACACCATCATCTTCCAGTCCCTCCTTGGTTTCTACGGCATTTGCCACCTGGGCAGTGTCCACTCCCAAGACAAAGTAGGAGTCATCTGTGGCCAAGCAGACCAGACTGCCACTCTCGTTCCAGAACACGTTCTTTGGCTGCACCTCGATGCGCCTCACCAGCTGCAACGTCTCCCAGTCATAGAAGGCCAATCCGGAGGAGGTTTTTACACCAAAATAGTAGCCACCGTAGATGCTCTCGGCTCCGTACTCTGGAGTAAAACTCTTACGCTCCTTAAAGTTTCGAAACAGTCGAACGGTGCCGTTGTTCTCCCTGATAGCGTACTCGTTGCTCTCAAGGGCCCACACAAATTCTTGGGCGGACCCGAATGCCTTATTTCTCAGGGCCATCGATGTGTAGATGATGTACTCGCCATCGCCGCATACCACAACGAAACGTCCGTTCGGATTGTGAGCAATGGTCTGCGGGTAGATCTCGCAGGCGCCCATATCCTTGACGGCCACGGGCAAGCGCTCACCATCCTTGATCTCTGTGCCATCAGCAATAGTCTTCAGATTGACCTTTAAAGTGAAAGAACAAAGTTAAAAACAAGGCCAAAAGTAAATTTAAATTGTTTAACTACCTGCTGCATTTCAGAGTGCTTGGCCCAAATGATCTTGCCTCCCACCACGTCCATAGACATTGCTGGCTCCTCGCGGCCCACCTTAATAATAATGGAACCTTCGTCGTAGCCCAGAGCCACGTTATTTGTGCCGCGCATGCTGGAAATAGTCCACACCCGCTCAAATCCGTAGTTAAGGCAGGTCTCTAGTCGATAGGTGCCCGAGTGCCAAATGCGAACCGTGCCATCCTCCGAGCCAGTCAACACTATGGGCAATTCTGGGTGGAAACAGACAGCTGAGATATTCTGAGCATGCCCCTCCAAGGTCTGCACACAGGTCTTGTTCTGGTAATCCCAGATTTTAACCAGGCGATCGTCAGCACCGGAAATCAAGTAGGGCTTATCGCCGCCATGGTAATAATCCACACAATTGACACCCTTCTCGTGCCCTTCCAGCGTAAAATTGGCAAAATTTGAGCCAAGCTGCCACACCTTTACCGTGCGGTCCAGCGAGGCGGAGGCAAAGGTGTTGTTGTCCTTCGGGTTAAACACGATCTGCATGACGTAGTGGGTGTGGCCCTCAAAAACACGCTGGCAGGCCCACATCTTTTCCCAGTTCCACAACTTGATAAGCATGTCATCTATAAAAAGGGGAAACAGGAATAAGACACGAAATCGAAGCATACTTCCCAGCTGGAGCGCAAGGTAAACACACGAATTGGGTGTCGAAATGGTAGACACACCACTTCGCCGCCAACTTACCACTACTGGTCAGCACCAGCGGCTGTGTGGGATGCACCGCAATGCAGCGCAGGTAGTCCGAGTGCGCCTCGAACGAGTGCACCTTCTCCAGGGTGTTATAGTTAAATACGCGGATTTGCATGTCATCTGAGCCGGTGAGGATCCAGTTCTTGCGTGCCACGAAACGGGCGGAGCGCACAGGCACGTCGCAGACTTCGAAGTCCTTCACCATTTGCTGATTCTCATAGTTCATGATGTGTACGTGGCCATTGTACAGGGCGCACAACATCCACGGCTCCGCCGGATGGAGATCGACGCACTTGACCCGATCCGAGCGCGACGTCAGGCGACGCTTGATGTCTAGTTTGAGAGGCATCTTCAACGGTTTGGGCAAACTACGGCTGTCTGCGAAAACACTAATTAATTGCGGCGAGACCAGAAAAACTCTTTAGCTGCCTCCGATGTTCTTCTTCTTCGCCTCGTTAATGTGTCAGAGCTGGCATAGGGTTGTCGCCTGCCACGTACAGGCGCTGTCAATCGGCGTATCGATAGTTGCAAGCTCCTCGGATATGGCTATTTTTAAATTAACACTAAATAACTTGCAGTTAAATTGAGAAATAAATTACTAGTAAATCAACAGCTTGAACTGGCTTATAAAGAGCAGTTCGTCATTAATATTTCAATACAGAAAATCATACGATTAAGTGTTCTTATATTTCCAGATGTATTTCCAATTTAAAATATTACTTAAATATTACTTTTAAGCAATTTTGCAGCTAGGCTTGGTAAGCGTCAGCACTGGCTGGTGATGGGGCAGGTGTTTTTCGAATAGCCGGCACTTTGAGCCATGCTGTTACTACCATCTCTTTCAATGCTGCCTATCGATAGGTTTTTCAACTAGTCCACGTCTTCTACTTGCGGTTTTTTCGTTTTGTAAAATAAAAATGACGCTATAATATTGTGTTAAGCATGCAATTATCAGAGGCGCACTAAGTAAAATAAGTCAATAAGTTTACCTGTAGGTGTAAAGTACAAGCCGCCTGATGTGGATCACCGGTCAGTTTGTTTTTCTACTGCTGGTGGCACTTGTTGCCGCAAAAACGAAAACTTCGGCTGTGCAGGATGACATCGCGGAGTATAAGGACTTCAAGAAGCTGCTGCGCACCAAGAACAATGTCCTTGCGCTCTATATAACCAGTGCGAAGGCTGCTGCTGCCGAGCTAAAGGTATTCCGGGAGGCGGCGGAGGCGGTACGTGGAACTGGGACGATGTTGCTGCTGGATTGCGGCCAGCAGGATCGCAAGAAACTTTGCAAGAAGCTGAAGGTCTCGCCAGAGCCTTACGCCATTAAGCACTACAAGGATGGCGACTTCCACAAGGACTATGACCGGCAGCTGACTGTCAGCTCCATGATCACTTTCATGCGTGATCCCTCTGGCGATTTGCCCTGGGAGGAAGATCCAGCCGGCAAAGATGTCCTGCACTTTAGCGACGCCGCTTCCTTCACAAAACACCTACGCAAGGACATCCGGCCCATGCTTGTCATGTTCTATGTTCCCTGGTGCGGCTTCTGCAAGAAAATGAAGCCGGATTACGGAAAAGCGGCCACGGAGCTGAAGACCAAGGGCGGGTATATTCTGGCGGCAATGAATGTGGAGCGACAAGAAAACGCTCCTATACGCAAAATGTTCAACATAACAGGTAAGATAAAAACATCTTGCTTATAAAATTTTAAATTAAACGATACCTTTGAAGGTTTTCCCACCCTGATTTATTTTGAAAATGGCAAACTGCGCTTTACTTACGAGGGAGAGAACAATAAGGATGCTTTAATATCTTTCATGCTCAACCCAAATGCTAAGCCAACGCCAAAGCCCAAGGAACCAGAATGGTCGGCGGACACCAACTCGGAAATTGTTCATCTCACGTCGCAGGGTTTTGAGCCTGCTCTGAAGGACGAGAAGTCCGCCTTGGTCATGTTCTATGCGCCCTGGTGCGGACACTGTAAGCGCATGAAGCCTGAATACGAAAAGGCAGCTCTGGAAATGAAGCAGAAAAAGATTCCCGGACTTTTGGCCGCATTGGATGCAACGAAGGAGCCGTCAATCGCAGAGAAATACAAAGTCAAGGGCTATCCAACTGTTAAGTTTTTCACGAATGGCGTCTTTAAGTTTGAAGTAAATGTACGCGAAGCATCGAAAATTGTCGAATTTATGCGAAATCCCAAGGAGCCTCCACCGCCTCCGCCGCCCGAGAAGAGTTGGGAGGAGGAGGAAGACAGCAAAGAAGTTATATTTCTGGATGATGACAACTTCAGTTCGACGCTGAAGAGAAAAAAGCATGCGCTAGTTATGTTCTATGCTCCCTGTAAGTTCATCCGTTTGATTGTTGAATATATATAAAATACTTACCGTCTTTAGGGTGTGGACACTGTAAGCACACAAAACCTGAGTTTACAGCGGCTGCCACGGCCTTACAGGATGATCCTCGGATAGCGTTTGTTGCCATCGACTGCACAAAGCTTGCCGCACTCTGCGCAAAGTACAATGTTCGCGGATATCCCACCATTATGTACTTCTCTTACCTCAAAACCAAGCTGGATTACAACGGCGGACGCACCAGCAAGGACTTTATCGCCTATATGAACAATCCGCCGAGCTCAGCGGACCGTACAGAGCTGTGATACGCTTGTTGCCAAGTGTAACGATGCTTTTCCCTCACCACTTTGCAATCTCACTTCTTGTATTACCTTAAACTGTATTCGTTCCATTCAACTTTAATGTCGTCTAGACTATCGAATATTTTATAGAATGTATGCGCATTTTGTAAGTATATAGCATACTAATAAATTACGTTAAAACTGATAGTATAATTTCATTTACAATACGCTAATGCCTTTACTGAAATAATAAAATACTATTGAAGTTATTAAACTATTAAAATAATATATCATCCCCTTAATTAATTCAATTTGATTTGTATACAGCCTACAATAAGAATAGCTGAAGTTTTGGTGAGATAATTTTAAAAGTAATTCAAGATAATGCCTTGTCAATTATTTGATAAGCACAAGCTATGGGAAACGCAGAGCATGTTTATTTGTTATGAACCAAGCATAATTGACTTGCCTATCCGGTGTAGATAATGTTATGCATGAATGAAAATTATAGCCGTAATAGTTATGCAAGACATTTCTTTTTAGTAGACTTCAGTCTGTGGGTCTATTTCCATTTCTTTTATTGTACAATTAATTTCAATAATTTCTATTTGCGTTTAAAACAATTTCTAAACTTAAAATAGTTTGTTTTGGCTATATAGCTAATGTAGATATATATTTATTTCAAAATTTCTTATCAAAGTGGCACTCACATTAAGAGCAAAACTTCCAGCTATTGCACATTTGCTCTGATGTTCAATGGTTTAGATTTATCTCGCCTGAATTGATTTTAAAGCCGAAGGAAGGGATGAACATAAGATGGAACTGGGCGATTGCATAGTTGGATACGTGGCTGTATTGGGCAGGAAGGTCTCATGGGAGCGGGAGCAGCCAGGTATATAATGGTAAATGACTTAGCGACCGGCTTCGGGTTTACTATCAACCTTGCGCCGGCTTAAACTGCCCAGCCAACTGCCGCGTTGCTCATTAGCCGTATATTCGTCATTGATAAGCGCGAATCCGTGAAACATGTCCTTCATCTTAATGGCCCGTGAGCAGGCATAGTTTTTGGTGGCCACATACATCTTGGTGAGGAACTCGGGCATTTGTTTCTGAGTAACCCAGGACTTAATATTCTGCGGTATGGGTATGCCCGGATCGTCAAAGTACGTTAGGACAAAGTGGAGGCCTGGCTCATGAAAACTGCGAAAGGGCTTGATGACCATCAGACTCCAATAGTCAGTGACGCGAACTTTTCCAGACAACGCCGGATAGCTGTTGTGCGTGGCTCCACGGTTGCAAATAAATATCAGCTTCTTGTTGTCATCCTTAATGTAGCGGCGACAATAGACATAGTCGCGATTGGCGAACAGTCGTGGCCACTGCATCTCCCAGTATATCAGATGCGAATTGCTGCCCTGGACGGGATCCTCGCTGATGAGTTCAAGTCTCAGGGCCGTGTCGTCCCACTGGCGGCGATAGTCCAAATCCGTTTGAACGTGGAGAAAATCGTCGGCTGTTATGTCGTCGAATCGAGCATAAACCTGCAATCCAAAGCGCGACATTAAAATACGTTTTACAAAACATTACTGAGAAGGCCAATTACCTTGTATGAGTATAAGGAGGACCGCTCCTGCCGCCGCCAAATGCTAAACTCGTTTTTGCTAAAGTACGGCTCCCATTTGTGGTCGTCCTGGGCCTGAATGCGTACCGTTCCGGCCGGTGCATTGCGCACGTCCAGATCCAAAGGTCGCAGACAATTGCTGATGCTGGATTCCGCATCCGTCTCCGCCTCTTTGCTGGTGGACGGCTTGGATTGGCCTTTTCTGCAGCGCTGGTTGCCCAGCTGACAAAAGCAGTATTTCATCTTCTTGGCCTGACAGCGGTCACACAGCTGATTGTTGGGCAGAGCGTTGATGAACTCAATATCCCTGCGGCACAGATCAAAATTGGATAAGGCCAAGCGCTCCTTGTTCCAATCAAAGCCATCGCTACCCAGGCGCTTGATATTAAGCCCGACGAGACCCACTGCACTCATCACCATTCCCCGGAGTGGGGGCTGCAGCTCCCGGCGGTAGTAGGCGCGCCATAGCTGCTTCAAACCCTGGGTTCCATACACCGACTGATAGAAACTGAACAATTGCTGAATACGGCGCGAGCGCTGGGCGAAGATTGACTCGCATTGGTAGCTCCAGGCGCGCAGAGTTTCCCGGGACTGGTTCTTGATGGCCAGAACAAATCGATTGAACAGCATGCCGGCTAATTCAATTTGTCCGTCGGCCGCCCGCTTGCATAACACCCTACTCAAAAGTGCGGCGACTTTGTTAATGCTCCTTCGCTATTACTGTGCGCCTACACACTTGACACATTTGTCGCCACAAAACTTGGGGAATTTAGTACTTCTAGCCAGGACACACTCGATCGGTTTGACAGAAGCCTTACTGCACGAGAGCTGGGTTAGGTTCTGGCCGGGATTATCATGTTTGACTGATTAGAAAAAAAAACGTGCAACTTGCAATTTGTCTGCTGCTTCTGTTGTTATTCCGCTGTTGTTGTTCCTGTTGTTGTGCCGTTACAGGCAGCAGTGTTAGAAAATTGCGTACCGCCTGCTGAGAGGTGACAGCTACGATCAGTGATCACACTTTTCTGGAACACTGAAATACAATTAAAATATGTTAAATTCAAACTATTATTTACAGTATAACAATTTTTGTTGTAAAACTGGCGAACTGTGCCATAATTTATATTAAAATTATTTAGATTTCAGTCTCTAAAAACTGACACTGCGAATAAATTTACTTGACATGCTGTCTTTTACCTAGTTATTTCGAATTATTTGTTTTAGTCGTTGGAATTTCTGACAAAAAACTTTCCGAGTATTTCAATAATTATTATCCATTTTTAACCATATTTGTAAATTTGTTTTCCACTTTTTTACTTGCCCAGCCCACTGTAAATGTCCTTTGCCGTTAGCCAACACTACACTTGGGAAACTCGTGGTTGCGGCCGCATTGTTTTTGTTGCGCAGATTTTGATTCGATTTGATGTGTGAAACTGCCGTTGAGCCTGGAAGCAGCCTAAGAGTACCCAGGCAGGATGTCCATGCGGCGCCAGCGCATCAAGGCTCCGGCCAACCTGTCGCTTATCAAACGCAAGCCACGCAGGGAGGAGCTCCCAACGACGAAAAAGGAGGATGAGGAGGAGGAGGTGGTGGCAGCAGCGGTTGAGTCCCCGCCCGTTGCATCGACCCCTGCTGCGGAAATGGAACTAGAGGCTGATGCAATCGCCTTCAAAATGCCCGCAAGCTCGGCTGGACAACTGGAAGAGGTATTCCACTCCGACATCGAGGACAATGTCATTCAGATGGATTTGCAGAAGACCACCAATGGCTTCCCTATGTCGCCCAGCAAGGCTCAAGCCCGCCAGCGTGTGCGACCCACTCCGGTATTTGGCCAGCGGCGTAACAGTTTTGTAGGCTCACCAATGGCCAGTGATTATGAGGGCGACTATCAGTCGCCAGCCACGCCCACGCGGCGAGAACGCTACTTTAGCGGGTCTTCGTCAGGAACTCCTCTGCAGCAGCAGGTGCACTCTCCTATGCCTTCATCCCCATATAAATACCTCCCGCCTGCCAGTCCGGGCATGGGACGCATTCGCACCGAATCCACCTGCTCCACCTATTCCGAAGGAGGCAGCAAGCAGAGAAAAGGCGATGATAAGTCTCAAAATCAAGGAGGACAGCGGTTAAATGCCCGGCGAGATTTTGAAACGCGGTTTAATAAGGGTGTGCCCGACAAGTCCACGTTCAAGATGATGGACATGATCTTCTATAATCCGGAAAACAATCCCATGGTACCCAAACAGTCGGTTACGACCATTAAGGATGAGTCTGGTGGCGATGATTCTAAGCCCTCAATCAGTCAGCTACTGGAGCCCAAGGGAGAGTCCACATCCGCTATGTTAGTGCCCCAGCTAAAGCTTGATGCCAATGGCGAGATGATCATTGATGAAAAAACATTGGAAATCGAAACCACGGCCGAGGTGGAGGCCCGCAAGGTGCTAGCCAACTCATCTTTAATCCTAATGGACGAGACTACGGGTGCGCCTCATAGATAATATATAAATATTGAATATTTAACGACTTGATTTTTACTTTGCAGGTGATAATGGATTCTACAAACGACACAAGCGCACGCCATACTGGACGTCCGATGAGACCGTCCGTTTCTATCGTAGCCTGCAGATCATCGGGACGGACTTCTCGTTAATGTGCCAAATGTTTCCATCGCGTTCGCGTCGAGATCTCAAGCTGAAGTACAAAAAGGAAGAGCGAACCAATGCGCAGCTGATTAAAAAGGCGCTGCTCTACCCTAAGGCCTTTAACATTCAAGAGCTCAAGGATCAACTGGAAGCGGAGAATCGCGAACGGGAAGAGAATGAACGCCAGTGGAGGGAAATCGCACGAGCTCTTCCGACAAACCCAAAAAAGGTATATCATTTATTTTATATTTTAAACTCCATTACATTTGTAATACCTTTATAGCGTTCGAGAATACAGCAGCAAAGCAAGGCATCACGCGCCCTGAACGATGGCGATGTTGTCTACGAAAACGAACACGTAACGAGTACAAAGCTCGCCAAGCAAGCCTGGGCCAAGAGGCGAAAGGAGTTGAATACCGACGAGAACGACGGGAGTGGGCCTGCGAAAAGAAAGCCCAAGGCTAAGCGACGGTCTCCCAAGGTTCCAGTTCCAGCGACAACGCAGAGTCAGTCGGATTTGGCTGCCATTAAGCAGGAAAAAACGATCAAAACAGAACAAATAGGAAGTCATTTGCCATCGGGGGGAGAACTGCAGGCTGAGCTTAATGGACTTCTGATGGATGATCCGGTGGAATTTGAAGTAGATGTAAACAAGCCACGTGATAAAACTATGATCAATATGGATGATGGTACCCTAAGCTATGTAAGCGACGTCGAGCCCGCAACTGAGACACCCAATCGAAAGGCAGAAACATATTTAATAAACTTTATGGACGACCAAGATCATGGTCATGAAGTTATAACGCCGGATGAACCCATTCCGCCGCCCACTACCGAACCGGATATCGAACAAATTCTCGCCGAGCTCGCGGAAGGATCTTTGGCTCTCGTCTCGTCCTTGGATCCAGAGCACGAGGACCGTGTGCTCAACGAAATCTACATGCTGGACAAAAATACGGGCGAGTTGTGCGAAACGCCGCTGAAAATACCAGAGCATATTGTTCAATGCATAATGAATGTTATGCAGCTAGAGGACTAATAACATTTTATATTTATATCCTAAGAGTATTTGTTAAAAGTTATAATTTATTAAAGCATTTCGCTAGATATATTTACAATTATATTTCTGTTCATTGCGATTTTCAAGTAAAATGCGAATGTGGGTCAGTCAGATTTTGTTATTGTAATTAATAAAATATTGAGTAAGATAACATAATCATTTGAGTATTAAAAGTGTTTGGTAATATGTGTCTACTCAACACAGTGACGTTTTGATTACTAACATTAAAAAAAATTGTATTAAATCAAAGAAAGCGAGCTACAGATTTGATTTAGACAATTTTAATAAATTTAGGCAGTTTCAATATTTTTTGAATTTACATTCACTTCAGAGTTGTCGCTCTTTAAAATTATTCTTCGCTTCTCAGCACTTATATTTAGCCGCAGGGTTTTATAACACTGAACTTCTGACAGCTGTTGTTGTTGCCTCGGCTGTGGTAGCAATTTAATACAATTTAACCAATTTAGCCACAAACGATGGCCCAAGTTCCCTCGGCAATCGTCTCGCACAAGCGCCAGGTGTGCAGCCTGTACAAGCGGGCTCTGCGCAACCTGGAGGCGTGGTATGACCGACGGTAAGTGCATACTCCGCTGAATTGCCAAAGATTATATAATGAGCAAGTGCATCCTGAATGTTTTTTAATGCTCGCCAGCGATGCCTACCGCTACCGCGCTGTGCAGCTGCGTGCTCGCTTCGACGAGAACGCTTCCAAGGATCTGGGCGAGGGCATCCGACTCCTGGCCTGTGGACAAAGGGAGCTCTTCGAGACGAAGCATTTCCAGCCCCGAAACTGTAAACAAACGGAACTTGGACATATGGCATGTGTTTCTAACGTGTTATCATTGTAGTTGCCAACAGTGCCGGTGGCTGTGCCTTCGAACGAGAGGTGATTCCCCCCGACTGGGTGCTGGACTACTGGCATCCCCTGGAGAAGGCCCAGTATCCCGAGTACTTTGCCAAGCGGGAACAGCGCAAGAAGGAGTTCGTGACCTGGTGGGAGAAGCAGTACGGCAAGCCCGACCCCAAGGACCTGGGACATCACTAATCTAAGAGTACCGTAGTCAAATCACATCCAATTTTTGTCTTCAAAAGTAAATCTATTGGAACTCAAAGTATGTGCTATATGAATGTGTTGTACTGGAATGCAGCCGATCTCCCTTTCCCAAAATCTTTGCATCGCCTAAGACAATAGGCTCAAACAGTAGGCATTACAATAATAGTGAACTCAGTTGGTTAGGCTTCCCAGATTAGATACACGTTACATTTCAAATTACAATCTTGTGATGTACAAGGTGAGTACATAGAATTGGAAAAAAAGTGGTTTATAAACTAGCATTAACAAAGTTAACAAAATGTTTTATTTTCTTGAAAAAAGAAAAGAGATATATGCAAATTGTTAGCCAGGAAACCAGCAATCAGCTTTGGGTACATCTCAAATTAAAATAAAAGGCTGGGGATATATATCGATGACCAACAGGATACAAAACTTGGAAAGGACCGTTCGACTGCAACTCCTTTGTACTTAGTGTATTTCATTTAATATATATGAGTGCAAATGAAGGGTGGCTCGTGCTTGCGAAGTTCGAGGCTGTGAGGGCTTGTGGGATGTCCATCGTGACCTTGGCTTGAGGTCCTGCCGTTCAGTTCAGCTCGTTGGGGTCTAAGCGCGGGCGCTTTTTGCTGTTGGTACCGTTGCCGTTGGGCGTGGAGCTGTTGCCGTTGCCATTTCCCGATTCCCCGCCGTGCTCACGCTTCCGCTGAAGCGTCTTTTTGTCCCACTGCTGAGTGAGGTAGCGCAGCAGGACACATCGCTTGTCCATCACAATCAGCTGTTCAGAATGCTCATCCTCGGTGGGCAGGTAGACGGAGGCCCGTTTCTGTGAGGTTCGAATCCCGTGTTCGTTGCTCAAGTGTGTGAAATTGCTTGAATCGTGACTGGGCAGGCCCTTGATAAAGTCTCTTACGGACATTCTGCTCTTAGGTTGCTGCGAAGTACGAAGTGTTAGGCATTTGAAATTAGCTCGAAATAACTGTACTTGTACGTACCTTTAACCGTTGTTGATCTATCAATATTTCGAGAGAACAATCTTTTTGTTTGATGTTTATTTTTGTGCAGCAATGCATACAAATTTGTTTTGTGCTCGAGATTTTTGTTTTGTTACGGGTGGTGAAATCAGTGTTGTAAAATGCACGATGCGCCTACCAACACTGCAACGGTGGAACTATTCGAATACCTAAATTGAAAATCTTTTTTTTTGTTCAAAACGTTAAAAATACTACAAATTTTGTACCGTGCTTTTCTGAAATTTCTTAACTTAAAGAAAACACATTAATTTTTTTTTACCAACAGAATAGAATAGCTTTCCTAAATATAAGTTTCTGACCAAAAAAATTTTATCTAGGATTATTTTTTGAGTATACTGACTTAATACAGTCTTGTGGTTAAACCATTTTATTAGGTTGTATAAAAATACATCAATTTTGATTTTCTCAACTACGGTTATGACGATTGCCGTCCCCGCGACGCACCACATCCTTGTACTCATCCATGCGTCTCATGCGGTCTATATACTCGGGATCATCCTGCTCCGCTTGCAGCTCCTCAACAGCCTTCTCCTCGTCCTCCTGCTCGTTGGGATCACGGGCGGCCGCGATGGCCTGTGCTTGATTCATCTTGGCTACCTTTTCCTCGTCGGGAAAGATTCCCTCGTCGACGCGCTGCTGGTAGAACTCATCCACAGTCATAATGGGCAAACTGGGATATCCCAAGCCAAACACCGCCTTCTGGGTGGCATTACGTGTTATGATGAAGGGCTGCAAGGGCTTTGGTTTAGCGGCCTGCTGATGATAATGGTGATGCCCTGGTCCGTGACTGTGACCATGACCGCGGGAGGTGGACGATGCAGAAGACAGATTTTGATTGGATGGACGGAACGAATCCACTTCGTTGGCTTCGCCACCAGCCAATCGGGCAAGGCGCATCTGGGCCAGCTGCTTCATTACGCCCAACGATTCCAATTCCTGCTTGGAGTCTATTATGCTCTTGTCCAAATACTTGAGGAAAAACACGCGTTTATCCTCATCGTCGGCCGTTTTGTTCTTGATTGCATCGCGCATTCTGGCCATGTACTCGTCAATCTCCTTCATCCGGCGATACTGGGCTATTTTGTCGTTTCTATTGAAGGCAGCCTCCACCAGTTCGCGCTGCTCGCTTTTTTCCGCCTGGCTATCCGTCTTAGCCACCTGAGATTTGGGCGCTGCACAGAGATCATATTCCTGGCAGCGCTGCAGGTGGTCCTTGAAGTAAATCTCGCCCAGTTCCAAGGAGTGTGTGCTATTGGGACTGTTGATCTTGGTGGTCAGCTTGCCCAAGAAGTAGGGGAGCAGCATGAAGGGCAGCGATTCCGTGGACACCTCGTCGATCAACTCGTTGGCACTAAACATGCTAACTTGGTTCACAATGACCGTGGCTTGCTCGAAAAGGCCCATTGCTGTCTTTACTTTGTTCTAAGCGTTGCGAAAGAGATGTAATTGAAAAAAAAGAGATGATTGTTTTGGTTTTAAAGATGCTAAATATTACACACCTGAAATTCACTGCCATTGAAGGGCAGATCGGTACTTTCTAGCTCGTCGAATGAGTTCCAGCCCTTTAAAAATATTTCCGACAGCTTTTGGTCCTCTCCGCCAGCGGTATTACCCTCAGCCATTTAGCGATTTGAATATAGTTAATGGGTATTTTCAATAATAATGTTGCGAAAATTAATTGCAAAATGCCGACGCCGAACAGCTGTTTACTAATTGAAGGGATGCAAAATACCAGATAAACCAGGGCTGGCTTATAAATGTTCTTTATTACCAATTTCTGGTTATATAAACTAAATAAGTCGTTATATTTAAAAATATGTAGCAAATATTTTGTAAAACAATTATGGTGAAACTATAAAACCCCATTTAAGATGTTAAACACACCCTAATTTCAGTCCCTTTTATATTGTTGTTAATTGTTATTATAAATTTCTCTGAAACGAATAATATCCGAATTTAGCAAAAATCCTTTATTAAACCATTAAAAAGTCTAAGGATCTAGCAAAAAATTTGTTTCTGGTTTAAAGTGTCTGTAGGAGTAAATGTAATCCGAGGGAATTAGCCCTTGAGCGTGGACTCGAGTTCATTGTTCGCCAGCAGTTCCTTGATAATGTCCAGTCCGCCGATAAGTTCACCCTTGACGTAAACCTGGGGATATGTGGGCCAGTCAGAGTAGGTCTTAAGGCCCTGGCGCACTTCCTCGTCGCCGAGAATGTCAAATGTCTCGTACGGCAAGCTGTAGAGGGATATTTACGTTTATAAACGGGAAGATAATATAACTGATCGGTTTCCCTACTTTGTTTCATTTACAATGCCGATGAGCTGCTTGGAGAATCCGCAACGCGGTCCATTTCGGTCGCCCTTCATGAAGATCATGAGTGGAGCCGTATTGATCAGGGCCTTCAGACGTTCCTCCAGCGTTTGTCCTGTTGCCGCCGCGCTGCTGGCGCTTTCGGCCAACTTTTTGGATTTGGCGCTTATGGCGGCAATGTCCACACCATCGACGCGGTCTACCGCGGAGCCCTTGGCGAAGAAAATTACTGTGGGCACGGCCTCGATCTGGTGATATCGCAAATGAACTTAGTGTCTCCGTTAGATTTTCACAAGGAAAACGAGCTTACCTGATGTTTCATGGAAATCTCTGGAAATTGTTCAGCGTTTAAGCTAATGAACTGCAGTTTTTCGCCAGTAATCTTGGCCAGCTCCTCCAGCGCGTCATTAACCTGACCACATTGCTCTGCCCAGTCGGCGGCGAATAGCGCCACGGTCGTCTTGTCCGCATTAATGTACTTCTGGTACTCTTCGGCAGCCGACACGTTCACCACGGGCATGTTTTCTTTGAATTATTTAATTAAATTTGCTGGAAAAGCAAAATTTATAAAAAGCAGACCGAATTATCAGCTGTGGAATAGAGTTGCTACTATGCGTGAAAAAGTCGGTGCTGGAGTTGCCACTAGTCGTGTAGAAATCAGTGCTGGTAGCTATAAAATAAAAAGCTATAAGTCGCTAAGCATATAATAAGGTAACCTTTCTTTAAATATCGAAACTAGTAATTACAATATTTCTAGCTTTTATCAGTTATTTTAGAAGTTAAATCACGTATGCTTTGAAAATAAGTTCTTTATACAAAGCTTGACTTTCTGTTGTCATTTTCAGTGTAGTGTTGCGATACAGGGCTGTTAGACGAAATTTGGGGAAATCGTCGTTTCAATTTCTGGCAGCACCGAACGGCAACACGTGCGGTCGTGCCGTAGCGTATTCAATATACACAGCTCACTTATTTTTCGCAACTAAAAGTTGAAATAGACAGAGCATGGTGACGCGCAAGAAGCCAGTTAAGCGCAACGCCGAGGCGGCCGAAATCCAGGTCGAAGAGCAGGAGGAGGCGACCCAGCCGAAGGTGGCCAAGGAGCTGATGGTGGTTGCCCAGGAGGTGAAAATCATTCGTGGCCTCGCCTGCAACGATGTGGTGAAGCGAAATCGCCAGATCCACATTCTTCGCAAGTGGTTCAAGGCGCGGGCCGGTAGCTCCTTCCCCTTCAACGAGGACGACTTCATGCGCATCTGGAAGGGATTGTACTACACCATGTGGATGTCGGACAAGCCGCTGGTGCAAGAGGAGCTGGCCGAGCAGTTGGCCCAGATGGTGGACAGCTTCGGCGGCAATACGGCCTGCAGTCTGGCCTACTTTAGTGCGTTTATGCGCACAATGTGCCAGGAGTACTTTGGCATTGACCAGTGGCGAATGGACAAGTTTCTGATGCTCACTCGCCGCATGGTCCGATATCTACTGAGACTGCTCAAACAGAACAACTGGGAGTCGGACCTCATCGCCGCCTTTAACAGCAGCATGCAGCTATCCGTGCTGTCGGAGCAACCAAAAAGTCGCGGCATGACCATGCATTACCTAGATGTTTTCTTCGAGGAGCTGGCCAAGGCGGCAGATGGTGAGATCACCGCTGCTCAAGTCAATCTGTTCTTGCGTCCGTTTGTCACCTACATTGCTACACAACGCGATGCTAAGCTGGTGGCCCAGTGCCGCACAAGGGTGCTCTATCATCTGCTATACCAGAGCGACTTGGGACGAGAGTACAGCGAAAAGTACAATGCCTGGAAGCTGATGGGCTTCCCCACCGCCTCTATTGATGACATCGAGAAACTAGATTCTGGATTTGACGAGGAGGATGACGAGGGCAACGCCGAGGAGGAGCAGCCACGGGCCACATCTTTGGATCCTCGAGCGGGCAACGTTGATGTTCACATGCCGGAGCTGCCGCTCAACGCTGACTGCGTTTTGGATGAGCTGCAGACGCAGCTACGCACCAACGATTTTAACAGCAAGAGACGCAAGGGACTGCGCAAACTTATCCAGATCTTTGAGACTTACAAGGGAGGGGAGTTCCCACTGGGTGTGAGGACAATGCCAAAAGTGGAGGGACAAACTCTGTCGGAAATGGTGGAGCAAAAAGTGACTGCCTTAGATAAGATGGAGGACGAGGTCTTTGCAACTGGAAGAAAACTGAAGAAACTCAACAAATCCAAGCGCAAACGGCTACTTCAGTCCATAAACTTTGAGGAGGTGGACGAGCACAATTACGACGAGGTTATTAGCAAGGCCCTGCCTCCTGAGCTGCAGAAGAAGGTGAATCACAATGCAAAGGTGCGTTCCAGCATAAACGACGCCTGGGTAGTAGAAAAGGTCAAAGATGCCGATTCTACGGCGGCCAAGCCCAATTCGAAGAAACCAAAAAAGGAAGAATCGCCGGAGCCGAATAACGATGACCAGACGAAGCTGAAGAAGAAAAGCCAGCTTAAGCCCAAGAAGGACCACTCTAAGCCCAAGAAAGAGGAGCAACTGACTTCCAAGGCACAGAAGGAAGAAGCCGTAAAGCCCAAGAAAGTGGACCACCCTAAGCCCAAGGAGGAGCAATCCAAGCCGAAAACAGTGGAGCCGCCCACGCCCACAGCCAAGGAGGAGGGGCAGTCTAAGGCCAAGCCGACACCAAAAACGAAGGTTGCCGGTAATGATGATGATGCCACGGCCTCTACTCCGCAACAAGCTAACGGCTGGGATGCCCCTTTAGAGCCCGGTGAGCAGGACATCTTTGTTCCCTCTCGAAAACTGCAACTGAAGCAGGCCAACAGTAAGCTGCAGAGGTCCACACCCAAGCAGCCTGCGCCTATACAGTTTGCAACTCCACAAACGGGCAGTGCCAAGCGTGTGCGGATCGTGACCAAGAGCAACTGCATCTACCCCAAGAGCGATTATTACCGCCAGCTGAAGCTGTCTCCGCAGGTGCCCTACGACGCGGATCGCTTGCCCGGCAAGAGTGCCCTTAAGCCACACGTGTTACCGGGACCGATTCATCCGAACTTCAAGGCCAAGCGCCTGTTCAACGACACTCTGTGACAATGCTAGTGACTGGGATCGGGACAGGATGAGGTGAATTAATTTGGACTTGGTCTGATGGACGACGAAGAGGGGAGCGCCTCACATCATCCTACTTCCTGACATGGCTTTGGAGATTAAGATAACACATCCACAATAGGCATGTCTTATGCTGGTTTTATAACGCGTCTATACATACAAGAAAGCTTCCATGCTATATTTTGCTATTTTAAAATGTTAAAGCCCCTTTGTTTAGTTCGGAGTGCATGGTTACTATGCTTAAATCTTTCAATTTTCCGAAATAGTTGAAATTTGTCGAGCATTGTGCGATTCTTTGACTAAACAATATCGAAGGTTTATTAATTTCTACTCAAATAAGATCCGCATAAGACATGAACTAAATGTAATCCCCTAATCTTTTAGTAGTTACAATTACGACTATTACTATTGCTTGTAGGCCATTTTATGTTCAAGCTATCCTCTGATCTGAGTTGATATTGAAATAAAAGCAAACGTAGTATATGTAAAATTAAATACGAATCACAAAGCTTAAATGTCATTATTTGCTGGGCAGATGAATCCAATCCACTCCTCAAAATCCAGCTCATTGCTCTGAGCTTAGTCGGTTCCACTCAAAGCTACTTGTTTGACTCACTCAGAACTGCGCTTGAGTCTCGAGATTGCAGTTTACATTCTGTAAACATTCACTCCGATGGTATTTGAGCTTAATGGACTGCATTTAAGGGAGGAATATGCAACTAAGAGAGTTGAATCCACTCACTCAAAGAAGATACTCGGTTGAGCCAAAAACTATTTGACTGAGACTGAGAATGAGTTCGAAAAGGTGCAGAAATAATGATCAAATGTTAAGTTGAGTGCCTCTTTAGTTGCACTTATTGATGCTTTAAGGTGCAGTAGTACAATTAATATAACAATTTAACGTGCCAGAGATGGAATCATATTAAATACCTCAAAGATTTTCTTAAAAATTTCCATTTTTGCTCCTAATTGTCACTTAATTCACACCACAAGGATTCGATTAATGCCATACATTAAAATGATTATGCAATTGGTTATATTTTATCTATTTAAATTGTGACTGCAAATTGAATAAGAACCATACTTTTGTGATGGCATTTTGCGGTTGGTATATTATTGGTGTATTAAGAGACATTCATACGGATGCACAGCACAATTTACAAACAGTTTTGATCCCATTCATGCAAAATGAACTTCCGATCCGCCCAGCACAATTGGTCGAATAATAAATTTTCATAATAATTGAATATTTGCCACCGCAATGGGGATTCGATGGCGAATCAAGGGGGTGTGACATGTTCAT